GACTGATGCCCCTTCTCTCTCCTCTGCCTTCATCCCGCTCTATGATCATGACTGAGCTCCTGCTGCGTCCTGCTCTAGGCCCTGGGCTGGGGACAAGCGGACAGAGATGAACGTGAGGCAGACCCTGACCCTGTAGTGGGAGCTGGCTGGGAAGGCTTCACAAAAGAGGACATAGCGGTCCAGCTGGTCCGCAGTGCCTGGCACATGGCAGGCACCAACTTCATGTCTGCGGAGCCAAGTGGGAGGATGGAACTGGACCCGTGGCGGAGGCTTCGCAGTGTGTGCAGTGCCACATGTGGGCAGCACGTGTTCGTCTCCTCCCTCCCTTGTTTCCTGCGCTGGGAAGGTGGGCGGGGCTCTGAACAGCGCTGTAGAATCGGCCGTGGGGAGGGAGCCAGGAAGCTGCAGACCCAGGTTGGTGGTTCTGTGGGATGTGAAGTCCCTGCACCAGCTCTTTGCCACCTCCTCAGCCTCGCCTGCCTTTCTCTCCCCAAGATTAACACTAGAACTGGCCTGAACCCTCATACTTTTGGGGTTTGCTCACATCCTTTCTGCTTCCTAGGCATCTACTTCGTCTTCAAAATCCGATCTAAAGTCAGTTCCTGTAGAATCTTCCTTAAACCTCCCCTGTATTGGGTGGACGGATGGATGGATGGATGAGAGGATGATGGGCGGATGGATGGATGGGTGCGTGGGTGGATGGATGGGTAGGAAAGCTATGAAGAAAAAAGAGATATCAAGATAAAGTTTGGGTTCAGTCAAGGTGAGGACGAGGAGTTGGAACTCAAACTTGAACTAACCTGGGATTGGAGGGACTACGTTCGCCCAAACCAGAGAGCCCCAGGTGGATGGATGGATGGATGGATGGATGGGAGGATGATGGGCGGATGGATGGATGGGGGCGTGGGTGGATGGATGGGTAGGAAAGCTATGAAGAAAAAAGAGATATCAAGATAAAGCTTGGGTTCAGTCAAGGTGAGGACGAGGAGTTGGAACTCAAACTTGAACTAACCTGGGATTGGAGGGACTACGTTCGCCCAAACCAGAGAGCCCCAGGGCCGTTTGGCTGAAGCAGCAGTGGTCAGTTTACTGAGTGGGTGCGGCCTGGGAAGGGGGGCCCTGGGCCGCCCAGCGTTAGAGTTGGAGTCTGGGGTTCAGCGTGAGCTTCAGGCTGGAGGGCGGGGGTGGAGCAGCTCGCTGTGGCGGGCGGGAGCGGGCACCTCCTCCAGCGCCTCCTCCAGCGCCTGCTCCGCGCCCTCGCACCGTTTCTCATGTGACCCTTACGGCTCGCCTTTGTTCCGCCTTAATTATTTTTCTTGTTAAATGCAGGGATCCTGAGAAAATCAGGCCCTAACCGTGACCTGCGTCGGCCTCCAGCCTCCTCCGCATCCCTCCCGATGCCCTTTCCGCTAACGCGGCCTTTTGCTTCCTTCCGTTGCTTCCGTCTCGCCGTATAGCCGTTTGCGATCTGAGCGACAGCGTGGCGTTCTGGTCTTTGGCCGTCATAGAAACTGACCCGGCGAAGCGCCCGAACGTGATGCCCTAACGTGATGTATTTCCATACAAGCTTTTCTACACACTTAGAGCTTTCCTCTCTCGTAAAACTTGAAAATCAGTCCAGTAGAGATACTCAGCTCTCGCTCTGTTTTTGAGCCGTGCAGGAATTCAGCCGTACTTGAAGTGAAAACCAGGTCACATTTAAACGTTGCAGTGCATTTTAATATCCAGCGGCGTTTCTGAGGGAGGGGAAAGGTGGTCTGGTGTTTGTTTCTGATTTTTGAAGGCGGCTCTTTTGAATCTTCGTTTCACAGAAGAAGAAATGAAGACTCAGAAAGGTGAAATAACTCATCTGGGGTCGTACTGCTGTTCTCTGTCACTGCATTAGCACCTTCTCTTTCCTCCCTGTCCCCAGACTGAGCCCAGAAGGGATGGCCTGTCACCCTCTCTCCATTCTTACTTAGCCCGGTACCTGGCACACACGGAGATGCCCAGAAATGCCCGTGGGTTTGAACTGTTGATGCCACTAAAGTTCCCACAGGCAGCAAGGAGTGTTTCTTTAAACGCGTGTGTGACACAATTATATTCTATTTTATAATATTTGTTTCATATATAAATT